ACTGAGAATTGACTTTACAGTGAAACTTTAGAAATGAACAACATTTGAATATTCACCTAGGATTTGTGGCTACTAAGGGGAAGCAGAAGAAGCTGAAATCAAATTTTATGGCAAAGGTTTGTTGAACATGAATCCACTGTAGCCTTAATGAGATATCCAAACACTCCATCCCCATCGTCATAATCACAGTTGCTTTTAGCTACCTGCAGAGAGTGAGCTGCTGCTCCTTGCTAACATTCCATCTGTTTGGCTAGTAGAGTAGATTAAGTGTATAATCTACGAATATAGGAATATAGGAATCTTTGGGTTTTTGTTAGAATGAGACATTTTTCTTCCATGGAGTCCACTGTGTTGAGCCGCCATGTTTCTATCTTCAGTTAGGTGTGTTTGCGTTTTTTACCGCCACTATAATTTCTCCTTCACGCTAGGAAGGGGAAGGTGAACGAGGAAGTTGCAATGTGTAATTACACCAATAGATGTCACAAAATCCGACACACTGGTCCTTTAAAGTGGCACTAACAATGTATCACATGACAATGTGAAAATAATGTGACATAGTGTCACAGAGCTTTATATTGATTTTCAGCTCATTGTTTAGCTGTCTGGCCCACAACTTTACTGTTTGGTTCACTCTCAGCACTCTCATAGTGTTGTTCTAAAAACCCACTGTACACTACCTGCTCAGCACCAAACAGAAGACAGAAACATTTAGCATCTAGCTGGTGAACATAATGGAGCATTTAGTAGAGCCCGATATTTCCGTCAGGAGTAGGTAGAGACCAAAAAGACAGCTGAAAGAAAGTGAATATTGAACTTAGATTTATCAGGTGGATATAAACACAACTCCACCTGAATACTAATGCTGTTCTGGGTCTGCTGGATGTGTAAATAAGCAACTGTTTGCTAAATTCCCCATGTCAATAATCTTATGTTAATGTTGGGTTCACAACTTGTTTCTGCTCCCACCAAGAGACCCCAAAATGTAAAGGTTTAAAGCTTGCAAATGAAACCTCAAAAGACTAAAGATAATTTGAACAGAGAATAAAATGTTTGTTTTCACTTTCAGTTACATCACCATCTTCCATGCACTTCGATACCACAACATCATGACAATGCGACGCACTGGTGCCATGTTGGGCATCATTTGGACAACATGTGGGGTGGTGGCCATGCTCATGGTGAGATTCTTCGACTCCAAGTTCATCATGATCTGCTTCGTTGCCTTTTTTATCATCTCCTTGGCAATCATTTGCTCCCTCTACGTCTACATGTTCATGCTGGCACGCATCCATGCCAGGAAGATCGCCGCTCTGCCCACCAGCAGTGGCGGGAGGAGTCGACATCAGCGGTGGCGGGGCAACAGCATGAGAGGGGCCCTGACTCTCACCATCCTGTTTGGGGCCATCGTGGTGTGTTGGGCGCCGTTTTTCGTCCACCTTATCATTATCATGGTGTGCCCCATGAACCCATACTGTGAGTGTTACCGGTCGCTGTTCCAGATACACGTGGTGCTGCTGATGAGCCACTCCCTCGTCGACCCAGCCATCTACGCCTTCCGCATCGCTGAGCTCAGACATACCTTCAGGAAGATGCTGCTTTGTTCCCAATGGAGGCGGTGCTCATAGAGAAAATCTATTTACACTTTATAAGTGCTTTACATCCATGGGATTGCATATATTTACACCTTGGAATCAACAATGCATAGACCTGTACTGCCACTGAGCAGCTTTGGATGGGTGAGGGCAAGGGCAGCATTTACCTTTATGGTGGAACAAGCATGTGTGTGTTTGCATGCACCCCTGCAAAACTGTGAGTGTTTCTGTGTATGTTTTCATTATATAACCGCCATCTGCCCGTCTAACCACTCATTTCTCTCAGGACTCGGATGGGATCTCATTTTACCCCAAGTGTTAGTCTCCTCAAATCCTGTTTAAAATTACCCATCTGCACCACATTCACACAAGACACATATTTTCCAGAACCTGTTTTCCTCAAAGAACTTGTTATAATTTTTTCCACATAGATCACGACATTGTGAAATCCATCACTCACAGGAGCAGCACAGCTACTGATACAAACAATAATATGAAAACAGCAGCTCACCATTTTACCTTTTGCTTTTATTCAGACACATAAATAAAATAATTCTTATTATTCAACATAGCCAACACTAACATAAGTCATTTCAACTGAAGCTCACATTTATATTTTTGCATGCCGTCACTTAACCATTAACTAACATGAAAGATGTCCCCCACAGCTGTTAATATCGTGACACTGCACATTAAACATAGGACTGAGCATGCAATCATGTGGGCTTCTCCTCGGCCCGATGTCGTATTAAGTTCAGTGTTTTTGCTGCTGTTTCTGCAGGAACAAGTACTTCACAATCAACAATAACAATGAATCACAGATAATGTTGGAGGTGAATGTACAATGGAATTATTACTTTTTTCTTCATTATGTAAACCTATAGAGAAAGGAAAATACATATCATTGTGCTAACTGAAGCACTTTTTTCCATGTTGAGCATGATGTACATGTTCTGTGTGCGTATTCATATGCTTTTCTTTTTAATATCATAATTGCAAAGCACTTATAATAAAAATTAATGGAAGCTACAGCAAGGCCATTACAACACAATATGTAAAAAACATCCTTTTAATACTGTTTGTTGTTTTCGTCTCCTATCTCATCGTCTATATGCATAAAAAATGGTTTGAAGATACAAATAATACAAATGGCTTGCTCTTTTTTTGCAATAAATAAAACTATGTAACACTGGAGAAACAAATGTTTACCATCTATTACTAACAAATGATGCATAATGAAGAATTTCATATGAAGAGCAGTTTCAGCAAGTGGTTGCATTTTTTGATAAAGTTCTGTCAAGCTTCTCAGTTGGGAGGTAGGCGCCACTAACACAATCTTATAGAGAGCACTGTGAAGCTATTTGTACATTAATTTTTTACATTTCAAGTGTAACCTCATGGGATCTTTACATAGTGTAATGCAGAGCGTGGGGCAGGGAAGGCGATATGAGGAGCTCATCAGGGGGCACTCTGACAGAATAGAGCAGCTGTCAATAACACAAAGATACAGGCAGATGAGTGACTCCGCATTCAAATCGGAGCTGAGGTGGCTGCTGAATGCTGGCAGGTTTGAGGAAGCTGCTGGTTAACTGTGGAACTAATGCAGCAGCCGAGGGAACGTTGGCTGGAACAAGGTAACACATGTCTGAGGAGCCTGTAACATGTGTTACCTTGTGGTTTCTCAGGTTTGTAGAGGTGTGAACACATAATCCACCAAATGAGCAGTTCATCTGTTAGGTACAAACCTCTGACAGACTGGGAGCTTAGTGCTCCCTTTCTTCTTTTTCATTTAACATAAGATTGCCTTTGTAGTACTTGTTTGTTTAGAGTGCTTATATACTTGCTTTTTCACAGTGTGTTCATGTAGTGGCTGCTATGTCCTCTGTACTAAATAACAAAGAAGTTTGTCTTCCAAAATGACATGTAAGAGCATTTTTAGGGCCCGAGCAGTGAGCGCACATAGGCGTGGCAAAATGGCTCAAAAACGCCCCCCTCTTTGCCAAGAAACAGCAAGTTGTTCTAACTGACTTAAAAATTTCACATTTCTGAACACATCTAAATGCCAATATTCACTTATATTCACAGTGTCACCTACTGGAAACAGGAAGTAAGTCCTGTATGAGAGTCATCAACCAATTTACGTGAGTTACATCATGTGGTGTAAGCATGATTTGCCACTCATGATGCAACTACAATCTGATGCTCCTATTAGCAGGACAGAATATTTGTCAGTGACTTCTAAACTGTTACAAAAGTACTTTGACAGTTTTCTGACCTGCCTCAGTCCTTCCGGTGTGAACTCTGCCCGACCTTGTAATTTTGTCTAACCACCGTAACTTTAAGCAAATTTTTAATTATTTTGAAAAAAATTATTAAAATCACTGCAGCAGAACCAGAAACATCCTCTCTTTTATTCCATTAATTCTTCTATCTCTCAAAACTTGCACCTATTTTACCCACAGCGCAACTTGACTGCTGACAGTTCAGGTAGAGATTTAGGTGTGTTATGCTGCTAGTGGCTAATCTACTCTGGAGCCACTAACCTCAAGCAGAGATGAGGAGCGGCTACAGACGTCTGCTAACATCACTTCTTTTCAACTCAACACCTCCAGATTTTTTATTTTTTTATTTTAATCTTGTAGTCTTCAGCCCCAACCGACATGACTCAAGTGACATTGCTTGAAGGCATTTATCAGACCTGTGGAGTCACAAAAGGCTTTATGCAACTTTTATCACTTATGGAGTAGTACTCTCCAACACCTGTGAAGAGACTTTAACTTGCAAAATCTGTGGCATTCACCTTCAATGTTGAGATTACGGCACAAAAAGCAGCAGCAGAGACAGACTTCATATAAACACAGGTAACTGCAACGCTAGGTATGCGGGGTAGCCATGGTGAGCACGCCAACACGAACGGTACCTAAAAGCAAGTATATAAGCGCTCTTACACAACTGCATTTAAGGTTTACTAATGATGGAAAATATTCTGTCAGCACAGAGTAGTAACAGCTCACTGATTTAAAAAAGAAGGTCACAGCAGGAGGATAAAAGAAATATCAGCTAGAATGAAAAGGAGGCCACAAACAGTATTCTGTGACACACTTTCAAAGGAATTTTAAATGGTACTTGCTGTGAGTTCAGATAGTGTACCTAATAAACTAGCCACTTTGTTTCCATGGCAGACACATTAGAAGACAGTTAGTTTAACCTTTCTGCATATTCTGCGTGTCTCCTTTTAAAAAGACAAATATGTGCTCGACTGTCCACTGTACTGACTGAGCAGTGACAACGAACCAGTCCTTAAACAGTGTATTTTGATAGAATCTCTCAGGGTTATGCTCCAGTGTCAGATCCATTCAGTCCATCCCATCCATCCTGTCACCGGTCCACATCTCTCAGTACTTGCCTGTCAGAGCGCAGATGTTGGTACAGGCGTTTCTCAGGCTGTAACAGCAGATGATCTCCTTAAAAGTCTTCCTCATCTCCTGACTCCTGAAGGCATAGATGAGCGGGTCAATCACAGAGTTGCACATGATGAGGATAAGGTACATGTTGAAGTGGGACATGAAGCACACGCAGTAGAGGTTCCGCGGACAGGAGATCATCAGGATCAGGTGGAGGAAGAAGGGCGCCCAGCAGACGATGAAGATCCCCAGCAGGATGGTCAGCGTGATGGCCCCCTTCATGCTGGCCCGCTGGTGGATGGAGTTGTAGCCGGGCAGGGCGGCGATGCGCTTGACGTGCGAGCGCGCCAGCATGAACATGTGGCTGTAGAGGGAGGCCATGATGAGCAGCATAGCGAAGAACATTGAGACCAGGCAGATGATGACGGGGGTGGTATCTGAGTAGATGATGAAGACGATCCCGCAGCCCGTGCAGAAGGTCCAGATTCCCGCGATGATGCAGCCGGCTCTCTTCACTGTCATGATGTTGTGATACCTCAGCGCATAGAAGATAGTGACGTACCTGTAGATAATAACATGTTTATTTCCTTTACTAGCCAAGCTTTACTAGACAATAACACAGCATTGTCATTTAGCTTTTATTAATTTAATTCATGAATTTATGTGTTAATGATTGGGTACCAAGCCTATCTGGTCAATGTAACTACCTTTCATTATTCCAGCACTTCCAAAGTTTTTCCTGGCTCAAAATAAGTCAGGGGTGATACTGCCCTGCTTGTGTGCACACATGTGTACCGTGCCAAACACCTTTTAAGCATTTTAATAATTAAGACAGAAAATGTTTGATGTTTGTTAATTTATTTGACATTTAATTTGTTCAATTGTATTGCTGACAACCACACTGACAGACCAGTTTGACGTTTTTGCATCTTCAGCTGTGCACTGACTACAAGTAACCCTACTCTGACAATATAACATTAAGCTACACTATTCATTACTGGAATTGACTGAAAGAGTACCAATTGAACATTTCCTCCATGTTCCTGGTAATCAGAACCAAATTACACATTCCTCTCCAGGAGCCTTCTTCAGAAATTACTATCATACATGAGTTCTGTTCTTGCCCGATATTACAAAACTGGGAGAGCTGAAGACCAGGTAACATGGGCACCATATGCTGCTCTTCTTACCTAATTACATTGCACTGCCTCTGTTTTTGACAACCTTATGTAAGTTATTGTTTTCATGTAACATTTTCATTGGCTGAACTAAAAGAGTGATCTTATTTCAAGACAAAACAATGCAATTTAATTATGCACACTGTGAGAGTGAATTCAATTAAAAAGTTGATTTAATTAAAAGCCCTTAAAAGAGTTTCTCCTGGAGGAATAATCAGGAACAAATGAAATAATGTGTATCAGTGTGCTGAAAATGGAGGGTCTGCATGGAACTGTTACCTGTCCACAGCAATGGCCAGCAGGCTACACATAGACGCAACCACAGAGATGCAGATCATGGAGTCAAACACGTTGTCCATTTGCCTGATGAAGTGGTCCTCCACCACCAGCTGCCTGTTGTTGAGGAGGTAAATGACGATGGTCTCCCAGGCGTTGGACACGCTCACCAGCATGTCGGCTACTGCCAGACTGCAACAACCAGAAGAGTTCAATTCAGCCTTGATCATAAATATGGATAGTTATACATCTGTACATTTTAGTTCATGTGCTTTGTCCCCACGGATCCCTCGTAACACAGTGGACAACAACCATTAAATCATATCACTGTTAAAGGTGCATCACACAATTATTGTTCTCTCTCTCGGCTGTGGCGCAGAGGCAGAG